TTCTAAAGTATTTGACACATGAAAATAGTATTAGATTTTGATAAAATTCGAATTATTTAAAAAACCTTTAGATTTAGACATTATAAATCTTAGTATAACAAACACTTATTTTGCTCAGAGAATCCAAAAATGCGATAATATATAGGGTATTTCATTTAGAAAAACACAACTTTGATACTTTTAGGGCTTTTGGGACAGTCTGTACATTACAAAAATATTTTTAAAATGTGCCTCCGATAGGCGCCAGTGGATTCATCAAATAATACTTTGCAAAAAACAAACGGGCTAGCCGCAAACGTCCGTGCCGTATAGCGTGAACAACCCTGTATAGTATTGGACGTTTCCGAGGAATTATGTAATAAATTGTGTGGATTTTCAGATAATCCGGTATTTTACCGCACGAGAAAATTTTGCATTTTCATGGCTGCAGGGCGAGTTACTTTTGTGAATTTTTTCGTTCGCTTCCAGATGCCTCCTGCCAAGACACGTTGCCATCCGCTTTGGAAGCCGTGCTGGAACGAACTCAGGATTTCACTGACAGTGCCTATACAAGCCACGAACACAGGGAAGCCATCCTAGAGGCCAGCGAAAGACTGAAGGCTGAGCTGGACCATCTTCTGGAACTGTACGCCACTGTGGTAGAGCTTCCAGTCCTTCGGCTGTAGGCTTTTGGGGCTCATTCGCGCTGTTGCAGGTTCAAACTGGCTTTGAAGGGGCGGCCAACTCTTCGGAAGTGGAGGAATCGGTGCAGGCCTGCATCAATTCAGCGCGCGATCTATCCAGACACTTGGCCAACGCCGCCATCAACCAGGCTCAGGATCTGAACACTGCGACCAAGCAGGGCCTGGAAATCGTCACTGATATTCGTCAGCAGGCGCTCTCTGGTGACGTTGAGCGGCTAAATCGCACCTCCGATCAGTTCCAGGACTCCATCGATCACATTTTGGAGGTAGGCAGCGGCCGCTGCTCGCTGAGTTCGCCTTCTGAGTCCAGTTGTGAATCTGCAGGTTTGCAAGCTGTTGCGCCACGTGGCCGTTTCGGAAACGCTGCAGGTTTCCGCGAAGTTCACCGAGATCAATCTGCGCGTGTACGGGCCGCAGGTTGTGACCGCGGCCAACACCGTCTCTCTTCATCCGGGCAGCAAAATTTCGCAGGAGAATCTCGAAGTGTTTGCCGAAATGTATCAGTGGCTCGTTTCCGATGTGACCACCATTGTGAAGGATGTGCTGGAGGCCAGCCAAGCCAAGCCAGAGAAGCAGGTTTACATGTCCCTGCCCAGACCAGGAGTGAGTTTCGCTAGGCCGATACGAATTTTCGTAGAGTAAAAAAAATAATAGCAGGCAAGCACCAAGTGGAAAATGATGCTAAGTGTCCAACTTTAAGAAGAAATACATTTTAAATACGGAAATATTGGAAATGGTGAAATGCGGATGGCGTTTAGGGGCAATTTGCGGCGAAACGTGACCTCCTACCGGAAAACGTTCTTTGCAAAAGTTGTAGATAATAAAAAAATCTAAAACTTTTGTATTTAACACTT